TCCTTTACAACTCAATCCATATCAGTCTTCGTCGACAGATGAGCCGTTAACCCCTAGGATTATGTCTGTAGATCACTTTTGCTGCTCTACAATCTAATATCCTCTCAGGGTTTCTTGCCCAAAGCAGCCTGCACATTTAAATTGCAGCAACTACGGATGGTTCCGGTACTGAAAATGTTCATAAGGAAGTTGCATCAGCGGGCTGTCGAGCTAGTACATTAGCTCTTTATGCCCTCCCCAAAGCACACACACCCTCACTCCCCAAGCCTGAGTTATCGGGCTGGGTAGCGGAACGTTGGAGATTTCCCTTTGCCAGGACAGCCCCAGCCCGCACTCACTCCATTGACTACCAGTGGAGGTCACACCAGCACAAGGACATCCGGTAGGCCGGTGACGCTTCTCTCACAGCATCAGGAGTCGGGATGGTGTATTTACATCCTAAAATCTTAATCTGCCCATCCCTGGGAACGCCCGACGCTGTCCGATACAGATTTCTACAGTGGGTTTCTACCTTGAAACTAATTTACGAAGCAGCTGGAACGAAACGGTTGCCTAGGTACAACTACCTTAACTGCTGTCTAAATGGAACCATTGGCATGAGTTGCCACTACCACCTCATGCCTCGTATCCTTAAAGGGCAACATGTAATCATGCTCCCCACCCTGTTTCTGACGTTTTTTTTCCAGCTGTAGATTTTCCACACCTGGTAGCCCTTTAAGTGCTTCCATTTTCGGCAGATACTATGCACGCTCTTTGTCTGCCAGCATAGGCTCACGCAATAATGGTGGTTTTGGTCCAAGTCTAGCGCTAGGGGGCAGCACCTCTTTAGCCAGCAAGCCACTACAAACTTGTCAACCAGAGCCCCAGGGGATATATATACCCATTCATCATTATCTAACACTGGACTGTATATTTTTCTGAGGATTTTCCAGGCATTGAACAGGTAAAGTTGTGTATAGGGCCATCGAGTTTTCCTTGAGAGATTTATGCTTCCTACTTTTAGCTCGTGTAGGCCAAAATAAGAAGAATGGCCTGCTTTTATCCTTTCTTTCATCTCTGTCATTATTTCATCTGTCTCTCTCGCTCACTCACTCTCTCTCTCTCTCTGGTGTGCTTGTTTACTTTGATTTTGTCACCTGTGTATCTGATACGTGACTTACACTTTGTATTCGCTTCATTTACCTTTAGAGGTAACTCTTCTAATTCATGGAGTCAATGCTGCTTCTCCCCGGTAAAGCAATTTTGTCTGCATATGCCAGGTACTGCACTGGTTGGGCTTTTTAAAGTTGGTTGGTGTCCTGATGGTTGAGATTCTTGTAACACAATGCTTCCGACATGCTATTTATTAGGGTGTTGTGTCAGTAGCATGGTTAACTGCTTCTATATTGATGATTCTGGATGCCGGCTTGTGTAGAGTAATACTTCTTCCATTCCTTCACTCACTTAGCCAGTCACACAAAGAAGTATATTAATTTCCAATTAAACTCACAGTACTTTATTACGTCATCTTTTACAATAATAATATTAAGAAGAATCCTTGTATAAATATCCAGTTAATAACATCCACAAAGCAATTATTTCACCTATGTATATAATATTCCATGGTACAGAAAATTCACCTCCCAGAAAATCAACCACGTCCTCTCTTAACTACGACATCCGATGTACTGCTCCTGATCACTCAACAAAACGTGCGGGTCACTTCCGCTTTTCAAAACCATAATTTACTCTCTTTCCCTGTGAAAAATACACGTTAACATAGTTCAATATTAAAATTATGCCACCTCTCTGACTCAATGGTTTCGTGTGCAAACATGGTCTGTTACAATTCTGATACGTTGTTTGTGATAGTTCATCCTGTGCTCACATGTATGTTTCTCTGGAAGTTGTTTGTGATAGTTCATTTGGTGCGCACATGCATGTTTCTCATAACGCTTTCTAAAGGGGTGTTAAATAGGATACATGCCAGTGAGTGTCCTTGACTCAGTGGCCCTGATTAATATGAAAGTTCCTCAAGTACTCTTCCTGTACTTTGATTATTTTTTGGAGGTAGCCATCGTCATGTATGAACCAGGTAAGTTGTTAGAAACTCCAAGTTTCTATAGCTAGAAACTCCAAGTTTCTATAGTTAGAAACTCCAAGTTTCTATAGTTAGAAACTCCAAGTTTCTATAGTTAGAAAATTCAAGTTTCTATAGTTAGAAACTCCAAGTTTTTTTAGTTAGAAACTTCAAGTTTCTATAGTTAGAAACTCCAAGTTTCTATAGTTAGAAACTCCAAGTTTCTATAGTGCACTTTGCAGATATTTCCTGTCTAAGCTGTTGTGTAGTCCACATATAGTTGGTGTATGGGGATGTTTCTTAGCATTTCTTCTGGAGACATCTGGTGGTCGAAATATGATCTGTGGTGGGTCTATTCTGTCTGAATTCAAATTGATAGTCACCTAGAATATGTTCAGTAAACCTTTTCAGTTTTCTTGCTATTAATTTGTTGATGATTTTGTAGGTTACATTAATTAGGAAGATTTTGTAATTTGAGCATTCCAGTTTAGATCCTCTCATGTGAATTGAGCGCAGTACCCCTTTTTATTTGGCATTTCTCTTCTTCCTGCCAAATTCTTGATATGAAGCTCTATATTTGTCTATGCAGTTCGTTTTCACTTAGTTTTATAAGTTCCACAGTGATAAGGTCGGTTCCTGGGGCTTTATTATTTTTCATGGTAAAGATCACGCTTTTTGTTTCATAGTTGGTTGGCTGCCCAAAGGGTACAGTTCTTGTGGTAGTTTGTAATCCTCATTGGCTCCACCATAAAAGCCATATAGCATCCCTTCAAATTGTTGTGCCCTTCTAGTACCTTTTCTGTGATCAGTTCCTTATCTATAATGCTGATCACTGATAGGATTCCTAATAAATGCTGCTAGTTGTGCTGTATGCATGAATAAACAAATCCATGTCTTAATTGAAAGCTATTTTATTTTATAAGTAGTTTGTAATCCTCATTGGCTCCACCATAAAAGCCATATAGCATCCCTTCAAATTGTTGTGCCCTTCTAGTACCTTTTCTGTGATCAGTTCCTTATCTATAATGCTGATCACTGATAGGATTCCTAATAAATTTTGGCCTATTGTCTATTACAGCTGTGACATATCCCGACATAAGGATTAGAATTAAATTAATATATCCTTGTCAAAAGGATTGGGCCTTACCTTGTTGTGTCATATTTTGTATAAATTAAGGGACTGCATTCAAGCCTAGTAAATGAATGATTCAAGCTTCCACATACCTCGGTTTGCTATCACATTTTGTAGCACGGTTCCTTCTGTCAACTTAAATCCAGCTTGCAATCTAAACACCGTTGCTGTTACGGAGCTCGTCTCGATGACCAAAAGGAAAAATAAAAACAATAATTTTCGGAACAGTTCACAAAAACTCATCATTGGTAAGAGCATTTTAGGGATGTGACCAAGAGGCTGGTTTGACCGAAAGAATGGCAATAATTTGGTTGTCTTTGTGAATCCACCAGCGGAAGGTTCGATCTCTGCTTGTAGAACTGTGGCTTAGCAGCTGCGTTAGATAAAATGTCTCGTCTACTGTATAGTGGCGAGTCGATGTTTCATGCTACCAATGATTTATCCTAAAATACATGGGGCACTCGCCCCCCCCCCCCCCCCCCCCCCCCCCACAAAAAAAAAAAAAAAAAAAAAAAACAACAAAAATTATGTTTATAAAATCTGTACTCTCATGTTTATGGAAGTGAAGAATCCTTGTTCTCAATGGTAGGTTGTCGCAGCACCTTAAAAAAAAAATTAGACAAAAATAGACAACAAATTTATTAAAGTAAAGAGAAAATAAAGAGAAAGTCCGTTCGTTCACCATACAAATACGCTACAGTTAATTAAAAGTATATAAAAAAATTACTAAAAAATTTTTGCCTCCCCCTGGTAAGTTAATCGATTTTTTTGTTGCCTCCCCCTAGAAAGTTTTCCTCGGGCGCCCATGCTAACATATGCTGTTCTAAAGCTTTTGGCTTGTTGTTTTCTGTCCTGACTTTGCTGTACTGTGTGCTTTAATTAAACTGAATTATAAGTTTTAACTGACTGAGTTGGACAGCGATATTTTCTTTAAACGTTGTTGTTGTTTTTATTGGTTTGAAGTCTGATCAGAATTATTACTTGTTTTAATTAAAATTGATTATAGAAATTCTTGAAATTATAACCCAAATTAATTATTGATTCCCTTGAAGCCAACCCCTGAGAGAGAACTGTGTACAACGCTAACCATGTCGTGTTTGTCTGTGTACACCTTATGCCGTCGTGTATAGGGCCACACGCTTAATGATGAAAGCATCTTTGGATATGTGGTACACGTTTCACTCTACATGGCAACGGAAGTAATTTAATCTGTCAGAGCAGAATTTACAAAGAATGTCTTCTAAATATATTAACTGTTCTCTCGCTGCTCTTGTGTGCACGAAATTTAAAAATGATCACGATAACTCAATAAATGCCTTTAATCAATTCAGAAAAAAAAAAAATTAACTCGTTTTTTTGACGTTCAAAGTCTTTGTGGAAGTTTTGACTGGAGTAATATCCTCAAAGTAAACTCGTCCAGTTAGTTAATGTTAAGGAAAGCTAATGTCGTGGGGTGGAGAGTCGAGGGAAGGGTTTCCTGGGTATCAGAAATCGCATGTTCTTATTGTCCCATCACCACCCCATCCCCACCCGCTCACTTTTCCTTCGATCCAGCACACTGGGGCAGTAGCTCTTTGTCGTAGTTGACCTGTATTGTCAGCACGAAGATACTCAATCGACCGAACGAAAGTGTCACACGTGTCAACAAACTTATTCTTTACCAGACGGAAATACGGCTAGGGAGATGATCTCTAATCATAAAAACGCGTTATAATCGTGGAGGTGGAAAGTGAAATTGGAGGCGGTGTCAAGGTTAGTTCCCCTTGGACCCATGGGCGCCTGAATGGGGGGGGGGGCAAGGGGGGCACTTCATAGCCCATGTTCGACACGGGAAAGAAGCGGTTCGATTAAAACCACCGTTAAATAGCCTGGCTTGGTCTTCATCTTTACTCTTGGGTGTCTTAGTAGCGGGGCTATTTGGTAGCTGACTGCTTTTGCACTATGCCCTCTTGTCTCTATCTCTCTATCCATTTCTCCATCCTCGACGAAATAGCTTCCCAGATATTTAAATTCATGGTGGAGCAGCTGGCCACAAATCCAGTTGTTCTGGCGTACGGCCATGACCTCAGCCTAAGCTTTGCTGATTCTTATTTCATAAAGTTTGCTGAAATTGTTCTGACACTGAGTTTCGATATGACAAAGCTGCCATATACCAATAATAGTTGTTGCTGTTTTTTTAAACTTAACAAGGATGTACAAAATATTATTGTGTGACTGGTTTTACAGTTTAGTTGCATGCGTTCTCATTAATAAAGTTCAATAACACTGGATGATAAGGGAAGTAATCAATCCGATTACTCTGCCCTGTTAAAACATGTCTCTGCAACTACTCCTTGTTACCTTTCAGGATGCATTGGTCATCTGCATATGGCAATGCGTTGACTGCCTCGGTATTGAGATTGGCATCCTTGGGATTTTAATAAGCTTAATATTTGTTTATTATATAATTTAATTCAAAATTTTATTATACCATGAAAATCCAATAAAATATTTGCTTTTTTTTTTCAAATATTTTATATATTTCCGAAATTACGGTGACCAGACGATCCAGTTCACCCGGGGCAGTCCCTACTTTCGTATCAACTGTCCCGGCGTCCCCGAAAGGTCAGGAAATGTCACGACCTGTGGCGTTTTCCGACGAACTGCGTACTTTTCCCTAGACCAGTGGTCGGAAAATTGCGGCTCTTAAGCGACCTAAGTGCGGCTCGGCCATTCGGCCACAAATCGGTATGTGTACAAACATAGTTCTTGACAGGTTCTTGAAAATAAATTTGGCTCCCAAAATTTTTTTAATCGTCCTGCTGCTGATTTTGGGCTCTTTTGACTATTGCGTTTGCCGACCACTGCCCTAGACAGAGAAAAATTGTCCCCTTGTAAGACTCTTTTCTCTAATTAACAGCATGTTGACACCGTATAATAGGCTACATCGCAACTGAAAGTCGATACATTGAAACATATGCAGGTTGTCAAAGGCAATGTCAGTGATACATGTGAGAATTTTTTATGTTAATGTTATTTTCAAAAGCCCTGATGTTCTGAGAGCTATCCACTCATCTCAGAAATATTAGTGTCATAATTATGAAATTAACCATTACAATACACTTGTTGATCCTTCATATATCTGACATACGTCGGTTTTGTCAATTTCTTTTAAACTTTTTTTTTTAAACATGCTAACAGTAGTTAGTTACTCAATGACACAAACGGTGTAAAACAGGGTTGTGTTCTTGCTCCCACACTCTTCAGTATTATGTATTCCGCAATGCTGTCTGATGCGTTCAAGGACTCCACCACGGGCTTGCCAATCCGGTTTCGTACTGATGGATCAGTATTTAACCTTAGGAGGCTTCAAGCTAAAACCAAGGTCAAACATACCACGATCAACGAGCTTCTGTTTGCAGACGATTGTGCCCTTAATGCTCCATCAGAAGCCGTCATGCAACACAGTGTTGATATCTTCTCAGAGGCCTGCAATAACTTTGGCCTCACAATCAACACAAAGAAGACTGAGGTGATGTATCAGCCAGCTCCCAGTAAGCCCTACGTTGAACCCAACATCATCATCAGTGGACAGCGTCTCAACCCGGTGGATAAATTTACTTACTTGGGCAGCACTCTCTCTAGATCTGT